CGTCATAATGAAGTACAAGCGCCTCCTGCAGAAGGATCAACACCAGACAGCGACCAGAGGCGGTGAGTTCAGTTTCCTGCCCGTCGGTATGACCCCGGCCAACAGCCAGCACGGCAACGGAGTTGCTGGACTTGCAATGCCCACAGCCTATTTTCAGCCACTGCTTACCACCGACTTGATGCCCTCGTCGAGTTCTGCTGCGGCAGCCTCCACGTCTTTCATCGACCCTCAGCACTCGGCTGTTGGTCAGCGCCACATGGTTACTCCCTCTTATTGGACAGGTCAACCGGAGATGACTCGTCCCGGCCCCGGCGACACAATCCCACAGGCGGCCCCTCAGAGCACTCACTTCATTGCGCCAAACTCCATGATAGTCCATCACCAACAGCAACAGCAGCAGCAGCAGCAACAACAACAACAGCAACAACAGGGTCAAGTTGCTGCCGTCGTCACAGCCAATCCCGCCCCAGCGGCCTATTTTACGGGCGCCCTACAGGTCTCAACGCCAGTTCAGCCCAAATTGCCCAACTCCCCGGTTGCTATGCTGCCCTCAGGAATGTCTCTCGTCTCCGGCACGACAAGCGCCCCTCGGGCAATACACAGCATGCCGCCACAGGCCTCCTCCACGGCATCGCTTATCTCGCAACCCTCAATCATGGCTACCTCTTCTTCGGCTCCGGTAACTCCGATGAAGGGGAGCCCTGGAGGTTCAGTCAACGGGCGTCAGAGGCAACGAAAGAGTAAGTCTGCAGTTTGATGTCTTCTTTTATCACTTGCCAACAGTGCGTATTTGGGCATAATTCATGCTCCTCCAACCTCGAAGATCTACAGACACTTCCATTATGGTAAAGGGAGTAACAACATCTGTTTCGCAAATTTTATATTCTTTTAAAAGATGGATAGAGGAGCTAGCATAGAACTGAAAGAGGATTTAATGCGATTTGAACTGAAGCGAACATCGGATTGTGCGAAGAAATCAACTCATCGTCCTGCTGAGCTATCCTCTTTTGGTGTAGGTAGACATGGTCAGTGCTGAGCACCATCGACATGCCCCACTCCGAGTCAATCCTAGGATTTCCAGTGAGGTTAATTCATGAATCTCTTCCATAAAAGTTTTTCTTAGAAGTGGAAAACAGATCGGCTTTTCTTCTTGAGTTTTCGATGAGGCGGCTTCTGAAATTAAACGCCAAAGTGAATCTTCGGGAGCCAGCTACTCTTCATATGATGGATTAAATATAAAAAATAGCATAATTTTGTTTTTCTTAATCACTTTTTTTGTAGCATAACTATCAAGATTACCCCATCGAAAACTATTTCAGTATTTCAGTTAATCGTAAAGGTTAAATCTTTCCTTGGATATTGTAGCTGCCTTGTGATTGGCATCTGTGGCTACTCGGCGTCGTGATCTTATGCGTACACAACGCGGTTTCGAATACCATCTAGAGTGTTAATGAGACCCAGGCGAGGTCGGCATGACATCTAGAAATCCTTTCTACAAATCTTATTGTCGAAACCCCAACTATCATTGCTTGCTTCAGAGACATTAAGGCCAAGATGGTGTGGCATTTTGTTTAGTCGCAGTCTTCTTTATCTGTTCAGTTTTTTTTAACTCAATTTGTACGCAATTTGTACGAA